TCTCTCTCTCTCTCTCTCTCTCCCCCTTGATCTTCTTTCCCTCTCTCCAATTCACAAGATACAACAGGCGAAAATAGTGGTCTTTTCCAGGCTTACGGTTTTATACAGCAAAAAGTGTTGCTAGCTTTACGTTCATATGCGTGTGCTTCATATCACCGAATGTTTACACTTCTCATAGTCACCTGACTTTGTACACACAGCACACAATACTCGCATCGCACGGAAGTTAGTGACTAGATTAGTGTGACTGTGTTCAGCTGTTTGTGCGAAGCTTGTCGGGTGTGATTTGTCCTTTAGAATTCATTTGTGGAACTGACCGTCGAGTAAGTTTGGAACTTATTTAAACTGTTTAATAAAATGTAAAGTTTTCGTGGCGTCTTTCAACCTCAATCAAAGTATTTCATCGAACCTATCGAAGAATATATCGAAGTCAAGGCTTTCTCAACAATCGTGCGTGTGTTTTTGTTACGGAAATTTTATGTGACCCAACAGCGCATGACACCATGTCATGAAAATGAACGTTTGTATGGTAATTGAGATAACGAGAATAACGAATGATTCATGGTGTGTTGTGGGCAAGGATTGAACTGGTACAACATAAACATTTTAATTTTTAAATAGCTCCTAACTTTCTCATTCAGCTTTCCATCTGTCTGGGTGTCTTGGTGACTAGAATCTAGATCTAGATTAGACGAGAGGGAAACAATATTTTGTGGACTTCCCAGATATTCCAGACAGCCAAAATTATACTTCCTTGTTACATTTAGAAGATACTGTTTCATACAGCAAGTGTGTTTCTGCTCCTTGTCAGTACTGTCACACTACTGTCGACTCTATCTGGTGGTACTGTACTGTTAGAGGGTGCTGTGCTGTTGTAGACCCAGGTGCAAACATTTTTTATTGATAGACTCTAGTGAGTGTTATATATATGATAAGATAAAATGGGCACTACTTGGATATGGTGGTCCCGACTTAGTAAGACTTAGGACTAGATCTAGATCTAGATCTAGGTGACAGGGAAATATAACCCAGAGAAAATCTAGAATCTAGTTTTGACCCCAACGACGATTACTTCTGATTCTAAGTCGAAACGATTACTTTTTTTTTCGCGTGCCGATATGTAGAGACAGCCTTTCAAACCTAATTGCAAACAAACATCAAATTGTGGTCAAATTCAGAGGGGCATGCCCACCTGAAACACCCCATGGTTTTTTTTTTAAGTCAGGGGAACAACCCCCCTTTCCTTGTGAAAAACAAGTGAATTTTACTGCTCATTTTGTAGGCTAGATTTAGATCTAGGACTGATAAAACATAAAACATTGATACGGACTATTTAAATCAGTATCGAATTTCTGTAGGCTTACACAAAAGTCGGGACCACCATATCCAAGTAGTGCCATAAAATGTAAGGGTGGACTTCCGTTAACGAGCGACCACTAGTATAGACAGAGCAGAATTGAGGGCTAGGGGTAGGGATAGGGTTTGGGTTAGGGTTAGGGTTAGGCCTCTTCTTTATTGTGTTTGATGGGGTGGTCGCTCATTGGAGTCATTACGAAAGTCCTTCCAAATGTAATGTTGTTGTGGCAGTGTGACCTGTGGGTGTGGTTGTGAGATGGGGAGGAACCGATATCAATATAATAGATCTAAGCCTAATAATGTAAGTCTAGAAATAATAATATCGTAATCGTAGTGACTATTCCTCAGAATGCTCAGGAAAATAAAGTTGAACTCTATTTCTCCAAATGGTTTCTGATCTCTGAGATTTTTTTAGGCGAGATTTAGGCGTCCTTCTTTCATAATTTCAGTCTGCCATTCTGCGAGGACTAGATATCTAGATCTATGCCATTCTGCGAGGACTAGATCTATGCCATTCTGCGAGGACTAGATCTATGCCATTCTGCGAGGACTATGCCATTCTGCGAGGACTAGATCTATGCCATTCTGCGAGGACTGGGAGGAAGCATTTTTTGCATCAAATTTTAATTTTTAGAGCTAGATCTAGATTCTAGATCTAGATATATTTGATCTAGACTCTAGTGATTTTTAAATGTCTGAATATTCAGATTCACTTCAATTGTGGTTGGGGCAACGTTCCAGGACTCTATACTTCATTTGAAAATACCTTCAAAAGATACTGCGAGATAACAAGACTGCTCAAACTTGGCAGTAACCTATTTTGTATTTAGCCACCCAGCAAAAACTAAAATCCTTTGTAAAAAAAAAAAACCATGGATGTCCTAGAAGTCCGTCATCATTACTGACTGCTATGGCTGAGTGTCACTAGAACTAGAGTCTAGATCTAGCATTTATTTTTTAACTTCAACACAATGACAACGAGTCACAATGTCACAGTGGAGATCTTCGATCTTCTCGTCTAGTCATGTTTGGATAAAAAAATTCCAGCGGATTAGGGGCACTCGGCGACAAATTAATGTTTTATAATTAATTGGTCGTTTTTGGGTCTAAAGTAGCTGAATGGTGAATTGTGCTCGAACTAGAATAGTTAAAATCATTTATCTTGTCTTATATAAATACTCGTCTTTGAGGAAAAAATATACTCCTGTCCTCTTTGAGGAAAAAAAGTAAAAGCTCCCTGTACAGATTCAACTTTAATACAGAGAAGATAAGTTTGTAGTGAAAAGTTCTAGAATAGTTGACAGTTACAACCCCCAAGTCCAAGCTACTTTTGTTTTGCACTTCGTAAAATTTATTTTTTCCATTCTCATTGTCACAGAGCTGTGGCTTGTTCCCATAACGACAGTTTTGTGAGTTTGCTTCAAGTTTCACTGCACAGCATTCTCATTCCAGTGTATAATTTATTCGCATTTATTATAGCTCCCGTTACTTTTTAAAAGATTTTTCCCCCTCGCAGCACGCAGAGCGCGCAACACTTAACCCCACTGACCAGGATACAGGTGCGGTTATGTGCTATATTACACCGTCGCCGATTGACGTCCCGTGGGGCAGAGTGTTAAAGATTTACCTCTTTTGATTGCAGATTTATAATCACAGGATTTATGCAAGTCATAATTATATTGTATTATATATAGTCGTCATTGTCTTCTCTGGATGTGTTTTTCTCCAGACATCATGTCGGCCCCACCTCCTCCCCCACCCAGCTACAATGAAAGTGAAAGTATGCAACAACAGAGTCGTGGATTTGGAGCTGCAGGCGGTAAGCAAAAATATGTTTCACTGTTAATGGAGCATTTGTGATAGTTCAAACTAAGCTTAAAGTTGTATTTTTATAGTTTCTCATGTTTGATTCTGTAACATCTTTTCAATAACACTTTTGAGAATTGAGTACATAATATTATATTGTAGTTTGACTTAATTTGTTTGGCGTAAGAGTTCAACGGAGCTCGTAACTACATAGGTCTTATAAGATAAATAAATGAACACGAAGACAGATCGAGGTTTTTTGGTTTTTTAATCAAACGCGAGTAGGATGAATAGACTTTAACATTATACTGGATAGCTCCATACTCCATATGTTCAAAAATTGACAAATGACTAATTCCACCGTTCCAGGACACAATTGGTCGCTTTTAAGCACGAGGGGGCTATCCCAAAAAATGTTGTTTTGAAAAATTCGAAGGTAACGTTTTTACCCCTTGTCAAGTTTCTTTAAAAGACAAGGAGAGTTTTCTCTATAACCAAACAAATATACACACCAAAGAAACGAAACTTATCCTATAGGTAGGGCAGTGCCCACTTTTGGTGTGGGTCAAGATTTCTGGGAACCCCTGAAATCCGGGTTAGCCCTCTTGTCCTTAAAAACGACCAATTGATCTAGTATAATCATCCTCATCATCCGGTGCCTTGCCAACTGGCATGGGCGATCATGGACCTCCACCTCACTCTGTCTTGCATATAATAGGCTTTTACTAAGCTTCTGTAACACAAAAATTTTACAGTATATTATGTTAGGCATCCTGTCCACTCATCACATTTTCGCTGGCTCACCGATACATTCTCTCTCCCTCTCTCACAACGGGTGGTGGCTCTATGGGCAAATACATGTTTGTAATGTATCGTACAGACTTTTGTGGAGTGGGTGGTTGGCTGGTGCTCTGGTGTGGTTTGCTTCTTCTTTCCTATCAAATATCTATCGTCCTGAGATAAATCTCTCCTCCTTTTTTGTGTTTGTTACTCTCTTGTAACACCTCTAATCTTTGGCACTTATAAATATGACCCTTATTGTGTTGCAAGTGCCGTAAAAAAACACTTACTAAAGACATTTGTAGTACAGTGTAGCAGTTATATATATGCTTCACTATCATATATGATGCAAGAATCCCGAGTTCGATTCCTGTGTTGGAAAAATTATCGACGAATATATATCTCTGTCTTTCTGTTCGGATATTGTATTCTTCTCAATTCTCATCTCAGGTTGGTCCTGACAGGCATGGTCGAAGACCGCCTCCAAAATGAGATCTAAATTGTATTACTATAAAAACACTTCACTTACGATTTTTAAAAAATTGTTATATATCTGTGCTGTACCATTACTTACATGAGAACCATTTTTCTAACCTTTTGATAAAATTATGTGGGTGGTTGGCGGGTGCTCTGGTGTGTTTTGCTCCTTCTTTCCTATCAAACATCTATCGTCCTTATCTCTCCTCCTTTTTTTATGTTTGTTACTCTCTTGTAAAACCTCTAATCTTTGGCACTTATATGAGTGCCGTAGAACTTTTAGTAAAACTAAAGATGAAATTATTTATCCTCTCCCCTTCTCAGCCTACCAGCCGTCCTACGGTACGGCAAATCCCGCTCCCCCCGGCGCCTACCCCCCTCAAGGCGGCGCTCCCCCGTACCCCCCACAAGGTGGCGCTCCCC